TGCTATAAATCCTGCATTACCCATAATGAGGAATATACCATAATTCCCATATATTCCTTATTATGGGTAATGCAGGATTTATATCATCAACCGTAGTAGTAGTAGTAGTAGTAGTAGTAGTAGTAGTAGTAGTAGTAGTAGTAGGAGTAGTAGTAGTAGTAGTAGTAGTAGTAGTAGTAGTACCCGCCACCGTGTTTACCGTACCCCTAAATATTGAAAAACGCAGCTGCCGCTGTGGTGGCGTGCTTATTTCAGTGTATTTTGGAAGTATGCAAATGACAAGGCAGTTTTGCGTTTTGTGTGGGAGGCGTTGCTCGAAAAGCTTTACGCGCGTGTGTTGTGACAACGTGTCTTGCTCCACATCCTTGCGCAGCATGTTGTACCAAGAGCCCAAAATGCTGTAAATACCAGCGTTTTGGGCATGATCGCCAAAGGCAGTGACATGAACATCAACCTGACCATCTTCATCATCATCTTCATAACCATCATCATCACCATGCTCAACATCATCGTTTACCTGATCATCTTCATCATCATCCTCATAGTCATCATCCCTATCATCATCCTCATAATCGTCGTCATCATCAACATAAGGCCGGTGATGCAGTTAACGATGATGTTGAAGATGGCGAGGATGATGGTTACGATGAAGATGGTCAGGTTAATGTTCATGTGATTGCCTTTGGCGGTCATGCCCAAAACACCGGTATTTGCAGCATTTTTGGCTTCTTGTACATGCTGCACAAGAATGTGGAGCAAGACACGTTGTTACAAGAATCCTACCACTGCTACTGCTACCGGCGCTACTGTGTTACTGCTTACGGTCAACCATGTCGTTATTAGCCCCCCTCCCCCCCCGTTACTGCTTACGGTCAACCATGTCGTTATTATCCCCCCACCCAGTCCCCAGTAGCCGATTTCACGGGTACGGTAAACACGCCGCTGGCTAGTAGTAGTAGTAGTAGTAGTAGTAGTAGTAGTAGTAGTAGTAGTAGTAGTAGTAGCTTAGTGGTAGTAGTAGTAGTAGTAGTAGTAGTCGTGGTGGTGGTGGTGGTGGTGGTGGTGGTGGTGGTGGTGATAGTACGGGTAGTGGCACTGGCAGTCGCAGCAGTAGCAGCAGCAGCAGCAGTGGTGGTGGTGGTGGTGGCTGTAACTAGTAATTGTAGCTGCTGGCGGTGGTGGTGCAAGCAAAGTAGCAGGTACCGTGCAACTTCATCCGCAGTATGTCGTAGTCGCCGGTACTAGTGTTGGTGGTGATGCTGCTAGACTGCAACAACTTGTTGTAGTGTTTCTGCGTCGTTGTAGGTATCGTTTTGTTGCGATACGTGTTTAACTTCGGGATCGTCAGGTTCATGGCATAGGATCTAGGCTGGGCGTCATTAACTTGAGAATCTCGTCGTCGTTGTCTCTCTGAATTCGGCACCAGTAGTAGTTAGAGACGTCGAGCTTTCGTGTGTAGGCCAAGCCACGATCCCAACACCCCGTTGCTTTGAACACAATTGGTTTGAGCAGTGTAACCCTTACCGCTTCGTGTCCCATACTGGGGCCAGATACGGGCTCCCAGCCAACTCCAAGCTCATCCCTCCCAGCAGCCAGGGCTACATCAAATTCTGCAAAGATTTTCGAAGATTTTATCACGCCGTCAGGGTGCTCAGATGACGGAGGAAGGGCTACGTGTAAGCATGGTTAAGACTTTAACTGTGTTTGTCATAGCGTTGGTCATCATGTGGAATCGCAGCTCGTTACATGCGAAAACTGCCTGGCACCCCAAGCAGCTGAACAAGTGCCCTGTAATTAAGCAACAGCACCGAACCATGGTTGTGTCCTAAGCCCCTCTTCTGTTAAACCACACGCCACAGAGCATGCTTGTTCTGTTTACATGCGCCAGTATACCTATCTACTGAATCAGGATGTTCATGGCAATCGGCTCTGTCACCGCACCATGAGCTCCTCAAAGGAAAACGAACTTGATTGTCTGAGCTTGTTCATCAATCAATCCCTGATCTTAAGCGAAGCTACCAAAAGAGGAAGTCTCACCGCTCTGACTCAGTCCAAAATAAAGAGAAGGCAGATGTTGGACCCCGGTCTCGACACAGGACCTGAACGGCCTGCGCATGTAGTGTGGGCATCCAGGTACGTGAGATCACATGCCGACATCTATTGATCTTCGGTCCTTGAAATTTGTACGGCGCAGGCTTTTGATATACAGGTATGCCTCAGGACTTTCTGGGCCTTGCACAACCAGCAGGGTGTGTCTGTGCGATCCACTCAGAAGAAACCTCTCCCCCACCCCTAGGCTCTGAAACCCAGCTTTGCCTCATCCAAAACTCCGACAGTGCTTCCGTTTGGATCCTCGGGCGGCTCCAGCTGCAACATATCCACAGAATCCCGGGCCCTACGGTGTTGCTACGAGGATAAGAAGTTGATGCCATGGGCCATGGGTCTTGGGCAACAATGAGACAACATAACGAAGCATTGCCCGAAGAGGTTTGGGTGCAGCATTACAACCTAAGGTCTTGCCCACGGTCCGTCGACAGGCCAGCCAGCTGGCGTTGAGCTTCCAACCCTCGGGCTTGGGATACAGCTGCTTAGAGGTTAAGGGTTTAGGTCTTTAGGTTTCGATATTTCTATTCCGGGGCCCTCAACCACACGAAGGGTCATGCATGGTCACATCGCAGGCGGCCAGCTTTCCCTGTCATTTCTTCATATCACCGCGCCTGTCGCCAAGAGGGGAAAGGCGTCATCTCAAGCCCAACAGTCGAATGATTACCCTCTGTTAGAGCATAGGAGGGCTGTCCATCACTGCAGGTGTCTAAATGCCCCAAGTCTGAGCGTCCGCGGTGTGTGTGTGCGTGTGTGTGTGTGTGTGCGTGTGTGTGTGTGTGTGTGCGTGTGTGTGTGTGTGTGTGTGTGTGCGCGTGTGAGTGCGCGTGTGAGTGCGCGTGTGTGTGTGCGCGTGGGTGTGCGCGTGGGTGCGCGTGTGGGTGTGCGTGTGGGTGTGCGTGTGGGTGTGCGTGTGGGTGTGCGTGTGGGTGTGCGTGTGGGTGTGCGTGTGCGTGTGCGGGGGTGCGGGGGTGCGGGTGTGCGGGTCGCATGCGGGTCGCATGCGGGTCGCATGCGGGTCGCATGCGGGTGTGCGGGTGTGCGGGTGTGGGGGGTGTGGGGGTGTGGGGGTGTGGGGGTGTATGGGTGTATGGGTGTATGGGTGTATGGGTGTGTGTGTGTGTGTGTGTGTGTGTGTTTGTGTGTTTGTGTGTTTGTGTGTTTGCGTGTTTGTGTGTTTGTGTGTGTGTGTGTGTGCGTGTGTGTGTGTGTGTGTGTGTGTGTGTGTGTCTGTGTGTGCATGTGTTGACGGAACCGCTAGTACCGCTAGTGCTAGGGACAACTCTGGGCAGCAAACCGACTCCCTCATTGCCACAAACCTTAGCCCTGCACCCGAATGCACAGATGCGTGCGATGAGTACTTCGCAGATGCTGCTGGCGTTGGGGGCTTATCTCACACGCTGGTTGTGTCCTGTTGTGCGAAAATATCTGGCCTGCTCATGAAACTAGTTATTTGTAGCAGCCATCTAAAGCTGTAATGAATGAACATGCTTTTGCTGCTGCTGCCGCAAAATCATGAATCAGAGCCAAGCTGTGCTTGCTATGGGAAATCCGAGGTCGCTAATTTAGTGTTGTGATTGAGTTTCCGCGATTAAGGACTTTGTGTGTGTGATTCGGAGTTCGCAGCTCGGTGTGGCAAAGTTCCCTAGCTGCAGATCGTCACTGAAGACGAACTTAATGTGTTATGCGCTCACAGCCCTGCAGCCTCAATCTTCAGCTCCATCCTCGGCCCGATATCCACTTCTGAGGCATCTGAGGCAACTCACATTGAGAACCAATCTCTAACCTGCAAGCCTACATTCGAAATTGCAAGCTGGTTCATCACTCATTGAAGAGGCCAAGGCTTGCAACGTGCCAAGAACTACGATGTTTGGATTGAGAGCCATTCGGTCCATTCACCAGGTCCTAACTCGCAGCCCTGCATCTGAGGCTTCGTGTTTCTCGCGACTTGCGATTGAGCCCTGGGTTCCCGGAGCTGCAGGCATCTATTCTGGAGGGTTCGGAGTTTAGGGTATGCAGAGCCACTTAGACTATGGCCTTGCAACACGGGTAAGCTGATCCAAACCTTAATGTGTGAACGTGAACTCAAAAATGGGCTCGGCGCCCCCCTGTTGCACCTGCGGGTCACGGTTTAGATTGTCAGATGTACAAGCACCGGATGTGAAGCAAAATAAAATCATCTAATTAGTTGTCGCAGGGTTGTAGATGCACACTGTTTGCAATCGTAAGAACATTCCCTAACCATCCCTGGTCATCGATGGTTCAGGGAGGTGTGTAGATAAAAGTCACAACACTCGCGACAAGATTGCCCGACCAAGGCTCGCAACAATCAGGGTTGCATGGCCAATTCCAATGAAGGCAACAGAGCAACAAGTGTCGTAAGACCGGCGAGAGAGGTGCGACAGTGGTACAAATCAGACGAAAATCAGTTAGCAGAACCCTTGCCCATTTTGGGTGCTAATACCACCAGTCAACCCATTAGACGATTATTCCTAAGCTCCCCCCTACACCTCACCAACTATATCACCACTACTACCCCATTACCAATAATGCCAATACCAGTATAGAAATAACCGATTACCTCATCCATATAAGAGGAATATTCCTATACTCCCTACTACAATCCCGCAAATATCACCACTACTTCCCCATTACCAAGACCAGAAGGTGGTATGATTACTCAAAATGGGCAAGGGTTTCTTCGTAGAGTTTCGGAAGCCATTGGTCGCAAACTGCTTGTTTGCTTCGGGCATGCCTGCTGGCAAAGAAAGGCTGAATGAGAAGAAGGTTTGGACATTCACCAACAAAAGCAAACACGCGTCCTATATCCTTTATACTTGGATCGCTGGTGAGTTCGGTGTTCAGGAAAAGTCCTGCCGCAGTTCGCGCTCGCAGCGATGGCTCTACAAACACGAAGCAGATCACCGCATAAAGCATCAGATAAGGACATCTGGTGTAAGGTCAAAGACGGCAAGCGCCTCGTGAAGGTTGATGCCGCCGGTACAGATGTGCAGACATTGAGCGATGTGAATGACGTGGTTCGCGTGGTGAAGTTCATTGTGAAGCCAAAGCTGGACAACGTGCCAACCGATGAGTTGGTGCTTTACCGGACAGAAGATGCAAAGAACCGATCGGATGAGCAACTCCCGTCCAACATGCCAATCTCCGAGTTGGTGCAACAGTCCTTAGGTTTATACGGTGAGCCAGTCTTCCTTGACTACGATGCCGCGACGGCCACATCATCACAGGCCACGCAATCTCATCCTTCCACTTTTTAAATTTCAGGTTTCCCTTCCCCGCTTATCCCCACTACTTAGCCTATTTAGTCCCATTAACTATTTTATGCTAGGAGGTTTGGTCCTTGCTAGGATTTATTGCTTGGTTAGTTTGGTGGTTCGGGTGTTTCGGGTTATAACCGTTGCTAGGGTGCATGTTTTGACTTTTGTTGTTTTACGGTGTTCTGTCTGTGCAGGCAAATGAGATGTTCCATCTGGCTGCTACTCTGAGAGGGTGGGGCAACGTTTTCGGAGCACGCCGTGCGCTGTTCACCTTGGCAGCAGAGTGCGCTGCATATGGTCAAATTGGCGAGTGCATCAAGCATATCCCTGTGCTCGGGCAGACTGACAGCATTGGCTTGGACTTATGGTTTCGCTCTGAAGAGTCCCGTGCAAGGTTGATAGGTGCTGTGTATAGGCATCCTTCCGCCACTGACGAGTCCATCCAGTTGACGCTGAAGAAGCTCAAACCACCTGAAAGCATTGAGGCAATACTGCCGAATCACTATGAGCGGGACGACGGCAGTCCTGAACAACATGCTAGCACCGGAGCTGGGTCGACTGCACCAGCAGCTACACAGGCAGCTCAGCTGCGTGCAAAACTACACCTGCAGCGCTTGGACAAGGTAGAGGACAAGATTTATCAAAACATGCACATCATCCCAGCAGCACTGTTAGATGATGGACGGAAGCTCGTATGTGAATGGTTGTTCTTGAGTGCCAGTCCTGTTTTTCACGTGTACTTTGATGGTACAGACACGGCTCCGCACATCCAAGTGAGGATTATGGAGAGATCTTCATCATGTGATGGTCTCGTGAACTTCACCGTGGAGGTGAACACTGGCATGGTCGGGGCAGACACTTTCATCTCGAAGCCTGCCAATTCCTTTGACCTCCAAAAACCAGACATTGGCTACCAAACCTTCGTAAAAGTGCCCGAAGCGCAGGCAGATCATTTCGAGCGCGCCGTCAAGTGGCGCTGCGCGTGTGTTGAAGCTGCATGGGCAAGGAAGAGCCAAGGACATCCGGTTAGCATCACTGGAGATCATGTGTGGTGGCAGCTCTTGGAGCTTCCCGCCGAGCTGCAAGTGGCCGTAGGTGAAGCCAAAAAGGCTGCGGGCCTCGGTGCAGAAGTTGACACCGGCATTGCAGCAGCAGTCGACTAAGCGGCACAGGGCAGCTCATGAAGCCAGTGTGCACATATCACCAAGCACATCGGCGGAGCCGAACTTCGAGAAAAAAGGTTGGCTGCAAGCGTTGCCGAATTGAGTATTTGTGCTGCGCGCCTGTGCAGTGCCAAGCAGTCAGATTTTGCTTTCCATGTAATGGCACGGACTGTTCAGGGCTTTAAAGATGTCTGGTTTGTTGTGAGTTCCTTCCTTTTGCAGGTATCCCTTTCATTTGCTGGCTGTGTGTGTGTGTGTGTGTGCATTTTGGTGTTGATTACCCCTACCTTTGAACTCGTGATGTGGGTTGGGTTTCTCTTCAGGGTCCTACTAAAAATATTTTACGACAAACGAATTCAGACCCGAACCCAACTCGCTTGCCGTAAAATCTTGATTCTTTTGTTTTGCTTGTTTTTTTTTTGATTTGTTTGTTTTCTTCTAGACTCCCCGAAATCCATACACAAAGCACTGGAAGAACATACGCAGAACAACAACAACAACAACAACAATAACAACAACAACAACAACAACAACACCAATGAAACCATAAACACGAAACACAAGTGACCAAGTTCAATTCGGTTTAGGGTGTGTTTCAGACCTTTAGCAGCTCAAACCTTAAATATGATCTATCAACGCCTTCCACATAATAGTAATTTTGCCCGAATCTCTTCTCAATCTTATCCACGGTATAGCGGTCTTGCGACCAGTTACTTATTCTCTCTTTCTCGTTCTGTTTTCGCTTCCTAAATATCTTAACTTAAATTCGTCACCCTTGTCAAGATCCGGATATATCCGATTCCGTTTACCACTACTAGCGATATTCAACCTGACGCTTAATTTGTTACTGGGTGTTCGTGCCTCTTTCGGCGTGAATTTTGTAGCTGAATGTATCATTTGGTTGTTATATGTCAGCAATATCTCGTGAATATAATCAGTCCATTGAATATTGCTTTTCCCCTTCCTCTCGTCAGCCTCAACTCTTTTATATAACATGTCCTTAAAAGTTCTGATCGCCCTCTCACTGAAATTTGCGTGTGCCCTTGTCCTGTGGTGCTCTATTTTCTGTTCCTTTAAATATGCTTGAATAGCATCCTTAGATAGAGCACCTTCATCATCAGTATAGATAATCTTAGTTTTTTTTCCCCATCTTGTGCAAACACTCAATCATTCCACTCGCTAAATCCTCTTCTTTTTTACCTTTTATTGCAACCTGCTACCACATGCAAAAACTTATCAAAGACATCTATCATGATCATGCCAACCTTAAACTTTTGATCTTCCAGGTCATTTACAAAAAACAAGTCCATTTGATACTCGTATGCCGAATGGGGTGCTACAAAACTGTTCTGTCCCACATGTTTTCTTTTTGCTTCCACGTTCTTCTTGAAAAACTCATTGACATCGTCAATAGTTATACTCTTATCTTTCTCTCGTGCTTCCTTTAAGGTCCTTTGTCTGCTCCCATATCCCGCGCGATCGTAATACGCATTACTAGTTATTTCCTGTTTACTCATATAACTACAATACAAAAATATTGATTTAGTCTTATTTCTAAAATTAAATCAGCAGTCTTCTGTTTTCATGGGCATCACAACTTTAACATTATTCATGATATACTTAGGTCCTTTCTTGTTCTGACTGCTGTTGAAGTCTGCCAGTTGCTCTTCGGTTAAATCCTCTATTGTGCTATTGATATTGTTGTCTTTTAGATATTGGTTTAACTTCTTCTTTTGAATGCATTTCAAAGCAGAGTCACGCTTTTTCTGCATGTATCCTTCGTCCTGTCTTCGCTTGTAATAATACAGTCGGTTGTAAATTGCCAACTGTTCTCTTATCTCTTCCATGGTCATATCCTCTGGGGTGTTCATAGACATAATGCTATACTATACTACTATACATCATAATATTTCTTTAAGTGAATTTTCTGAACAGAATTTCACCAAAATATCTAGTTTTCAAAACTTATCTTCAGAAAAACATTTAAATATAAAATATTTTCTGGAAAGCGTCTGGAGAGTGCGTCGGAATGCAGGCCCGTGTTTTTCAAGCGAAGTAAGCGAGTTTCAGTACATTCTTCATGCTTCTCAGGACTTTGGGCTCATCTTTAGCAAAATCGAACACAATGGCAAAACCACCTGCAAGTTTACAAATATGCTGAGTGGTAGCTGATCAACGCAGTTATGCAATAACAGTTGATTTTGTGCTCTTAAGTTACCTATTCGAAATATTCGGGTTTGCCACCCCTTCCTTTTTTCTTTAGACCCAGTAGGAATGCTTGAGGAACATGTCGGATGTTATAACCTATTTCTGGATCTTGACATTCACTGTATCTTTCAGGGTTTTAGTTTAACATCAAATATGCCTTGTTAGTTGGGACAGAAATGCCACAGTTAGATGTTAGTCTTGGCTCTCCACCATGTTTGTGTTAAGTTGCTGAGTTTCCACATATCATTTTTTGTTGGAGTTTGAAGTGTTTCTGACCTAGTGGGGTCGATTATGGATTTTTATCCGCAGTCTGCCGCCAAGGATGAACATATTGGACATGCCACCCATGTATCCTGATCAGAATATATCATGCATTGAAATTTGCTACCCTTCTTCGGGATGATGAACTGAATTCCATCATCTCCATTTGAATTTTTGGGGCTTGCCACCCAACTTGTCCAATATGGTGGGTTGTTGGAACCCAATCGTGACGTTAGTGTTTGAGACGCAGCATCTCTTTCCCATATCTTAATTTAAGAGTTATATGTATATATACATATTTGTCAAATATTTTGACATAAACTGCATCATATCTAATCATTATTAACCGTTTGGACAGCCTTCCACTATGTCCACTTGTGTTTGGAAAGTTTCGTTTCTCGAACCACTCCTCCATTCTAGCCCTTTGTGAACTTTTACCAGTCTTCCGAGTCAATTGTTTCATTGATTGCTGTCATCTTGTCTGTGTTTGCGCAATTTGGGTCCATCATCTTTAGTAATATCGATGAAGATTTGGCCACCTGCCCGTTGCTCTTATTCATATCTTGCTGAGGCTGTGGTTCGAAAGCATAAGGCAATCCCTGATAGGATTGGGGGGGGTCCCGCCTATCCGCTCCGCAGTTTGAACCGTGGTTATCTGAACGAACGATTGGGTTTGTCATCTATCATCTCGTACCAGGGCTTATGCATGTTTAGGGGAATGCATGCATCACGTCTGATAATGTTCTTTTCAATCACCCAGTAAAAAAACATGATAAAACCGAGTGTTTCACCCAAAAGCACAACATTGTGATGGGGTTGCAGAAGCCTTCAACTTTCTAAACCCTAAGGCCGCAACAAATTCGCGTGTGTGTATATACATACACATACCAAATCGATGGTTGAGCTATCCCTATCAACTTGCACGGCTGTCACTATCGTACATGTTTTTCGATCGACAAATATAAATATAAATATTAAAATAACAAA